AATAGTACAACGATCCCGGTTAAAGTAGATTGCAGGGCGCATCTGAGGGTCTTGGGGGCCAATCAGAAGCGAAAAACTCTGTAAACCTCGACTTTATCATGGGAACTGGTAAGATGAGGTGTGTTTCAAAAGGGTAGATTACAAGAGGACACGGCAGGGAATGGCTCAGTTCGAAGATATCGGATGTTAGTGTAAGTAGGCGTTAATTGGCCGCAATAGAGGAACAACAGAGAGGGTGAATCGCGGTCGAACAATGCATGTTTAGGCGGCGTGAGAAGTGAGGGAAAATGTATGGCGGTCATGGTGAGAGAGCACGATGGACGGCAAGGGCGCTGTCGACGACGGGGAATCGCACACATACACCACACACCTGCCAGCCAGCCAGTCAGCCAGCCAGCCCAGATCGGCAGCATGCACGACGACGACGTCTGTGCGATCTGTGGTAACGCCCGAATAGTGACATCAATGACTGAGCGCCACTTCCTGCAAAAGATGTGTTCGTATAAGGCGTCAGGGAACAACCCTAGCAGCGATACTCAAGCCGGAATAGCCGGAAATTGATCTATCCTCCCGGAATGCGCCACGAACTTCACCCCCATTCAGCTTTGCTAAGTCGACTGGTAGTTGATTTTCCTAGACTAGAGGGACTGTACAGGACATGTCACCACCTCACTGCCTTCTATACGCTGTTGGTGTCAAAAAGTCCGTCACGAACTTCATAGAACACCAATGTTCTTTGGTGAAGAGTAAAATCCGATAACCTCAGTACCTTTGCCGGTAGGAGATCAGTGCCAAGCTATATTCCAAGAGGGAACTGGGTTCCCATTCATTCGAAGAATACAGATAAGTTCCAAGAGTCGACATGGTCCTATACGGGAGTAAAAAATGTTTAGGAACAGCTAGCGGGGTAGGTCTAAGAAAACGGTAAACGACAACTTTGCAGGAAGGATCGCTCNCTAAGTAAATGAGTCGGAACAGCGAAGAAAGATGAAATCAATTTTCTGGCACTTATCCAAAATGGAGATTTCTTCGTTACCAGTGGAATTAATGGTGAATAGAGGCTCCTCCCAAATGCCGGCAGCTTTCTCGTTCTCCTTTCCAGTGATGAGCCTATTTCACCGACACTTCAATTTCGAACGCTACACATAAATCTGAGCAACCGCGGAATGGGCCTCCAGAGGGCCTAGGAGAGGCAGAAGGTCCAACAACCTTGAGAGACATTTGATCGAGGATCTGATCCCATAATCACGTTTATGTAAACAGTGCCACCTGGCCCTGTCCCATCTTCTTCCTAGAGCGCCATAAGTAAATAAGTGAAATCTGAATAAGAGTCATAAATAAGAATGAGAAAAATATAAAACAAAATTCTTTTCTTTCATAATCACAATTCCCTAAACAATCTTTTGTTTAGCTGGTATGCGTAAATATTGTTTCCAGAGAAACTGAAGCTCTAGCAATCATTTTGGCGAACTGAAAGATACAAACAAGGCTAACTTCGCTCTGGAAACCTGCCCGAACGTTCTGATGTACCAAAAGAAACACGAAGAGGAATCAGAATAGAAGAAGCCCGGTAATGGGCAACAAACCGAAGCATAGCTTAACAGGACGTTTTATTACCTCTCAAGCCGTTTTATGGACCTCCCTTTATTTCTAAGGATAAATTGCTCTAACAATAAGACAAAGCACGAGACGAAAAAGGCTTCAGAAGTATCCCTGTGGCCCGTAAGGATAATACCTGGGACATTGTCGGGCTGAAGAACAGCTTAGAGAGGTCGCTATAAGGGCTCCGAAACCGATTTAGCCGACATACACACCCAAAAGTGGCTGTATACGACAGCCTTGTTAAGGCTGCACCATTCTCAATAAAGCGTTGGGACGTTGACGAATACTATGTCTGTGTGGGAGATACCTAGACGGTTACAAACGGCGGCGCAGTTATACGGAACCTGCGATATCACCTCCTTTTTCTTTTTTTTTGTGCTGTGAATTGTGTCGTCAGCTATGAATAATTTCGTGGTACCCTTTTTCAAATCGGAAAGCGGAAGTACTCGTTGAAATTGTGCATCGGTGGTGAAGGAATCAAGAAAATTTGCCGATTTCGAGAGAAATTGGGTTTCTCAAGAGTACTAAAAACAAGGTTGCACCTGAAGTATATACATCACAACTGTCGCTACCCGTGCCTTCGAAGTGTCGTTCACCCCCTCCGAGATGAGGAACATACGTTTACTATTGTTGGAGGGAGCTTCAACTACACATTAGGCGTATTTACGGCTTTGAGGTGATTCACGGGCCAAGCCTGGCTTGGCGCTACATCAACAACTAAGGGGAGTCCCCGGGATCAAGCTCTGTGTACGGTCAAACTCTGTGTACGGTGTAAATGATCAGCGGTAGCTCTCAGTCACGCTCAAAATGCATCTTGAGCAATCGGCAGAAAGAATCTAATTTTGTTTAGGTTGGACCCTCGAAATTACCTAATACATCTGAGATCCCCTTCAAGAAGAAATCTTAGGACTTTTCCTTGACTATATCTACTTTACAATTTGCAGAATAACAGGTATAATGAATTATTACTTTTCTCATTACTCACTAATTCTTGCATTTTGCTGCATTTCAATCTCAGTGAGACTGAGGACGTGATTAATTTGAGCGCACCATGTTCCGTTGACCGCGACAAGCCTACTGCTGCCACTCATTATTGCCTTATCTCATGTATATCATGGGTAATTTTTTTGAAAAACTTGGAGTGTTCCCAAAGTGAAGCCTCAAAAGTGAGAGGATGAAGTCTTTGTCCGTTGGTCAGTCTCGTCTGAGGAATACGCCCCTGCATTCGACTTCCACTCAGAATCGTAGTGGCGCAGTGACTGCGTTTGTAGCCGATACAATGATTTGCGATGGTCAGCCGACGTACAAGTCACTGCTGTATCCTCCCAGACGAGTCTGGTTTCAATTAAGCAAACCCGAAGGGATGGAAGGCTTGCTTGGCCTAGGCGGATATGATGCGGGGTTCGAACCCGTGAATATGCGTATGTGATAGTGTGCCACTTGCCACTACACCACCTCCTCCCACGACCCCCAAATATAATATCATGATTCGTTACGGTTGTTATTTAGTACAAAGACAACTTCTCTACATTAAGCCTCGAAAAGATCCAATGCTAAAGTTGTATTACCTTCTGCTTATCTCACGAGCAAGAGCAGCCAAAAAACTATTAGAGAGGCCTCCATAATAGGATCCAAGGCCATACACGTTAAACCGTTGGAACTTCTAAGCTACTGCACTTTACGCCTCGAAATTGAGAAACGCTGGTCGAGGGGTTTGATTCGTACACAATTTCACTCAAAAAACCCATGGGACTGCTTCCGTGTGGCAAAGGAAGATTGACGTCTATCAACCCTCCCAGATAGAACTCGCTAATCGTAAGAATGTGGGATTATTCATGGATCTCCCTATCACAAGCTTCACTGTCCCCTTTCCTTAGTCGTAGAGACTTCAGAGCTTTGGAAGGCACGACTGATAGGAATAAGCTCTGATTGAATGATTTCAATCGATAGCAATGAATACCGATTCGTGCTCAACAAAACGGATAGAGGAAGGACAATGTGATAGGATATCGACTCCAAGGTTATGGCCAATATTTATGGAAAATATTGGTTTTTGGGCTGAAAGACAGGAAAGGTCAGTAAGCCAGGGGCGTGGTAACTTTTCCCCGAAAATCGCGTCGCGCCCGCCGCATCCGTTCGCGTGCAGTCGTGCGCTATGAAGGGGAACGTTTGAATTCCTAGTGGAAGGATACGGTGGCCGCCGCGGAACCACTGCCGCGTGTCGTTGGAATTCGGGGAGAAGGACTGCCACCCCAGAAACTTCCAATAGCTTTTCACTACAACACTTAAGCCAATAATATGCGATGAGGGGTATGGCAATCAGCTCAAGTTCGGAAAATTATACAACGAATAGTTAAATGGGTCTCAAACAATCCGTATTATACAGGGCTGCATATGGCTACTTCATGAAGAGCAAATTCTACTCAACAATTCGGAAATCATTGAGAAAAAGACGAGGTTTTATGGACATTCTTCGATGAGTTCAAGTGTTAAATGTTGTGAGCCTGTGGTAATCTCCGTTCCTGTTTTTTGAGTCAAAGCCTAGAGATCACTGCCTAAGCTTTTCTTAAAATCCCCACATTACCAGTATACCAATAATGAGTTGAACTTCACATGATTTCAGGTCAATCGATGGTTATTTTCTCGTCAAATTATCTTGCTGAGCAGTGAAAACAGTTTGTTTCCTCACCTCTATTCAAAACAATTGTGGCTTCTTCCCTCAAATCTGATAACCCTCTCCTACCCTCGAATACCCACAGGTCACGTCCTTCCCTTGCACACCCATCATCGAAGGCCACCGGTAACTACGGCATCTTCGAGTACGTTACGTTCCCGAGCACTGGATGAAGCCTCTTTCTCCCCAATATTAACCCTTCTTCAACTTACTCGATCGCACCAAGACGTGTCTGTCACCCCTTTGTGGTAGTTAATCTAACAGCGGGATATAGCAGGTCCTACGAACCTACAACTCTTTCGGGTTTTCAAACCAGTTGCAACTCATACCTAGTTATAGAGAATTAGCAGTCATACATAGTTTGAGGCTAGATCCCACAGCAAGCTTAGTTTTCTCCCTTACATTTTTATTTCGAGCCATTTAAAGACTGCCTATGCAACATGCAATTACTTCTCCGAACAACTTCAGCAAATGTTTGGTGAACGATGTGATGTGATGGATCGCAATCTCTCTCTAACATTCCGAAGCTTTCTCCAGGCAAATGCAGAAAATTTCAAGGAAAAAGTTCTTCGGTTCTTAAAAAAGAAAAAGCACTGTGAGGAAGTATTTTATCACTCATAACATGATATTTACTATGTACAGAAACGTCAACAACGAAGTATTGAGCAACAAAACAGTATATGGAACCTAACAATTAAGAAATTCTACAAAACCTTTGATATTACTAAGCTTGCTGTGCGGCTAGCTGCTCTTCTTCATGCAATTTCTTGATGAGTTTTTGTTTTTCCTCATTAAAGAATTCTGCAAACGCGTTTAAGTTTTCCATTTTCTTCTCTCTCGTCATGTATGGATTCTTTGACATACCAACACATACCTAGAAGGATAAACTCAAGGATCTGCATAAAAATGATAATTGCCACCTGCACATCCCGAAAAAGCCATGAAAACAAAATGTAACACTCACCAACTCCATGAAGTGAGCAATAGGACCATCTTTAGGCAGTCCAAGACCAGCAAGATGTCTTTCCAAGAAAATGTGATCATAAAATGGAACCTGAGAAAAGATCAAATGAGCAAATTGGGCAGAATTCAATCTTATGACGGATAAAAACATTGCAAGAAATACCTCTGCTTCTGGTCCCAGCATATATTCATTATCGATAGGATAAGGCCATTGTTTTCCTTGTTCGGTCCACTGTATCTGCTCTTCGAATGAATTCTCCGGTCCAAGGGATTGGTTGATGATTCTAAATGCTACTGTAAATTTCAGCCTTACGAAAAGAAGCCCATTCAGCTAGTCGCATGCTGGAGTTTTCCTTGACCTGGAAGCTTTTATTGGACCTCCTTCATAAGCTGACATAGCCTCCAACGTTGATGAGAAGGGGATTCCAACCGAAGACCAACCAAAAATAGCGACTGATTGGCTTTCCTCAACGTTCTCATTATCCCTTTTCTCATCGACTCAGAGATTGTTTAAAAGTCCGAAAAGGAAACGAACGAGGTTCTTTGATTATGAAAAGACCAGTGAAAAAGGGTTTCGATATTCCACTTTACCGCTTACTTAGATGGGTTAGCTTTCGGTGACTGAAAAAGCTGACCCGACAAGGTCAACTACTGTCCCTTATAAACCGCCAACCTTACTAAGACGTTTAAAATGAAAATAAAAATAAATAAAAAATATGATAAGTGAAAGTTCCAACAAGTACCTGGCGGCCCTGAGATCCCATTCTGACCAGAATCCAAGACTATGATCCTGACATTCTTCAAGGTTCTTCCATATTCCAAGCCGTTTTGATCCTTTTAGTAATGATGGCACTGCTGGGTCCGGCTTGATTGTTTTACGAGCCTTGGTACCATCACCAAGGACGTCATCATGATACAACATTTTTCTAGAACAGGCCCAACACTTATTGGATGCAAATGAGCATTCAAAAAACACCAAAATACGAACTCAGCCATTTGATAAGCATAGTCATAGAACCGTTGCTCTTCTTCGGCTCGCTTCACTTTTTGCTGTTTCTCGGCTTCTTTCGAAGCCTAAAAACTCTCTCTATATAGAATAAACATACTTAAATATATAAATATTGATACAGTTGCAAATTTATGAATTAAATATCTATACAAAATACAGATCAGCCACAGCATAAACATACCTCTATACCTTCTAACTGTGCTTTTCTTTGAGCAGCTATTCGTTCCTGTGCCTCCGCAACAGCATTCTCAGCCAACTTCTGCGCTTCTGTAGATTTGATACCGCTCTTAAAGTTGATGGGTACAACGGAATTACTGTAACCTCATAAAGTCAAGAGATTTGTCTTACCTGAACAGCCTGGTAGAAAATTTCCTTTCTCAAAAGCAATAGCCCACGACGTTCTTGCCGTTCCTGGACAAACCTGAAGAAGCAAAATGAATTCAAAAGACAACAAATAAAAACAAAAACAAGGCTCACCTATTAGGTATGGCACTAGATGCTTTTGCATCAGCAGCCACGGAACTGAGTAATCCCTGAATGGCCTTGTCATCAAGCATCTCTTGCATTTGAGCACCGGTGGCCTCATCGTACGTCGCCTTTTCGTGCGATATCAACTTCGANTAGCAGCAATGTGAAAAAGGGCAAGACAGACAGCTACGAACGTTTTCTTCGCTTCAGGATCATCTTTGTGAAGATCGTTTACCACGGCGTTCACGGCATCGAGTAACTCATCCCCTATCACATCTTTGGTACTGCATGAGGGTCCCTAAAAATCGAAAACTTCAATAATGAACAAAAAACCATGACACGAACGGATTTTTCAAATCTAACATAATCCCAGTGCGTAAAGGCATTATCAATATCGAATAGAAGGTAGAACTGATTTTCATTTACAAAAGTGGTCTTATACTGCATCACCCTTACGTAGAGGCCAGGAGTGACGGACAGATCGTCAGATTCGATTTCGAACGCTCATGATACAGTAGCATTACAATAACATTAGGTTCACAGCCAAGTAACTCCATATTTTCTATGTATATAAAACAAATATCTTGTGAAGTTAAATCTACCTTTCAAAACGATTCATTTTTACGGACCAGATACCTGAGGATTCTATGATATTCATTTTACTATAATTTTCTTGTTAGAGAAATTTATGGCCAACATAAAACTGGGTAAAAACTTGGTTTTTCTTGGAAAAGTAGATGAATATACCTTCACAAAACATGGGCAACTATTTAGATGGAAACCTAAGATCTAAGAAAGGGATTTAATTGAATACGGTTATTTCACTTCGACTCTATCAAATCCGATAGGCTCCCACCAATTGAACGAATGTATCTGCGAACACAAAAAGGAGCTGTTTTCTGTAAACAACAAAAAACCGAATAATTGCAAAAAGTATTTGGATCTTTACAAAACTATTGAATACTTGCGCAACTTCGCTGTGTTGAATCACATTTAGCTCGTTCCAGAGGGGAACATAATGTAAGATGAAAAAAAAAACTTTTAGGTAATTTATACCTTCTTGTCATCTCCACCACTTTCGCTCGAGAGCAGTCTGAAGGATTGGCGAACGATTCGCAATTGCGGCACAAACTTTTTCAACATACCCACTCTGTAATAATTACCTGAAGAAGTCGTTTAAGTCAAATCAAAATAAATATTACGATCTTCTGACTGAAATTTCATTACAAATGTGCTGACACAGGATTTAATGACTGATTATCGGTATAAAATGTAAAAGAACAAAAGTAAACTAAAACAGGCCCAACAGAAAGATAGGAATACAATAGATGTGTGCCGTAAAATGGAGTGTGTAGTCTGATACAGCTCCGCACCCTGGTGCATTTGATTTTACGGCACATTTTTGTAGGAAATGGGTGCCCGTACCGAATTTTCGTTTCTCTTCACGACCCAAGCAATAACGGACCACAGTTCAACGATCGTACGGCGCACGTTTATTCCTTGCTCAAACTCCATTCTTGTAGAAATGAAATGTGTCGGAGTCCTGCTAATATGAACAGCACTGGGACTTTAGTTGAGTTTTACCTAAAGACCTTGTGTCTCAGTTGAGTAGACGCTTCTGCTTATGCCAACTCCATGCTGTGAGGGTGTGAAGGAATGTCTGAGAGAAGAGAATGAAGAGGGATCAGCGGATAAGCATGATAGAGAGAGAGAGAGTGCATGTATAAAAGGGTGCTACCCTCTCCAATAAAGTATTCCATCCTCTTGTGTTTGTCCGACATCGTCACTCATGCTACTCTCAACCTACCGATGATTGTTCGCTCTATGGTTTATACAGGTACCCCTGAGGACGGTACTTCAATCAAGATCCAGGTCTGGAAAAATGACCAGCCTCATTGCACGAGCATGGGCCAGGATGCGCTACCAGTTTGTGATGTGGATCACAGGTCAGATAATGCCATATAGGTAATCTCAGTGAAACTAGGTCGAAGCAGGGTGACGATCGCAATAGCGGATCCTGGATTCCGACCTCTGGTGCAAACTAAAACGAGACCCTTTCAACAGGGGGGAGGTGGGAGTAGAACCAGGTCAACTACTAACCTGGTTAACTACTAGCTTCAGAATATTGGTTGACTTTCAGTTCTATCAACACTGGAAAGGTTAGCTGAACTTCGTTCAACCACGTGCAAAGCAGTGGCATTCACTGCTGAACAACAGCGCTCGTTCCAAAAAGATCGAAACCAAAATCCAAAAGTGCTGAATTTCTGCTTCGTTCCTCACCGTAATCGTTTCCATCTCAGGAATGAGTTAAAGCAACGCGTATTGGCAATTTGGCGAGATACTATACGATAAGTATAGGTTAATGTTAGCTAATAACAAAAGGTTTTACTTGAGCATCAGGGTTTGCCACACCGGATGGTATTGTAGACAGCGACTACTACTCATGCCCACCCGATCATTAAAATCAACAAACCGATTCAAGGGGTAGAGTTTTCATCGTTTGAGACATGATACAGGTACTTCTCTCTGAACGTAGTAGAGGCTACTACTGTTGACAGGTTCACATAAACATAAAGATAATTATATAAAATTTATAAAACGTTACTCTTACATACAACAGACAACATCTAGCTCTAAAAAATGACCAGCTTATTCAAGTTCAAACAATAAAAATGCTATGAACAAACATTAATTAATTTCCCTTGACAAACGCAACTCCTTTTTTGATGTTCTTGTTGAGTTCTTCGACGGATGCGTCAATAAGTGACTGCTCGAATTTGCTGACCTAAAGTTGGTCATAGTTGGTTAACAGTGGTAAATCATAATGAAGGAGAGGATTGCTTTCCGTTCCTCAGCCTATAATGTCCTGACATACCTTTCCTACTCCAAGAATCTTCTCTACTCCATTCGGTCCCAACTCCAAGGGGGTTGAGAAGTAGTCAACACCTTTCACGGCATCTGATGCTACGTAAGCACACATGACACTCTTGTCGCCTTTGATTGCACGAACGAGAGCACTCGCAAATCGAGCCCCAGCCGCAGCCATTGATAAAGTGGCCGATCCCTGAATCAAACACTAGTACATGTTTTAGAAAAACAAATTTCATTCGAAAAGTTCATGTTTTGTATGGATCGGAAAGCCGGCAATAAAGTATAAACAACGAAATTATGATGCCAAATACTCATACAAGCTGACGGCAGGACATGAATAGTTAGCACCAAAACTTGTCAAATGATGCGCCATTCGTTCTTGCCTCGGTTTCAAGGAAAGTGAGCTACGGTACGAATCTCTCATACCGATGAATGAAGAAACCAATAGTAATCCAGGTAAAAAAAAAAGGGCAAAAGAAATGTAGGAAAATGAAGAGCCTTTCAGCGATTCTTCCGGAGCTGTCTTCAATGAAGGAAGAGAACCACCACTACTTACCGGGAGCCCATGATGTGGTAAAACTGACAAAAGTTAAAGTTTTAAAGTTAACTTTAAAGCAGAAAGAATTCTTAAATTTATTTGGACGAAAAGGGCGGAGGTGGTGTAGTGGCAAGTGGCGCACTATATCACACGCACGGTCAGGGGTTCGAATCCCGGATCGATGACCGCCTAGGCCAACCAAGCCTTCCATCCCTCCGGGGTCGGTGAATTGGTACCAGACTCGTCTGGGAGGATAAAAGCACTGACTTGTACATCGGCTGGCCACCGCAAGTCATTGTATAGGCCACATACGCACTCATTACGCCACTACGATTCTGAATGGAAGTCGAGTGCGGGGGCGCATCCCTCAGACGGGATTGATTAACGCCAAAAACTTTAAACTTTACTTTATTTGGACGAAAGACGCTCAGAAGTAGACGACTTAAGGTACTTACTGCTCCGGCCTTGGCTTTCACCACTTCAGTTCCGGCATCTTGAATCTTTGGGGTCAATTTCATGATTTCATCTTCGGTGAAGTTCACCTTTGGTGTAACCTAAAAAACGAAATCTTGGCTGGGCATGAAAGGAAGTGATACAACACTGACCTGAGAAAGCAATGGGATTATAGTTGTTCCAGCGTGACCACCAACGACTGGAATCACAGTTTTCGTGGCATCGAGACCCTTAATTATTTGCAATTGAATAACGGAAGGGAAGAAAGATGGCTATGAATAATTCAAAGGTTTCGCTATTGAAGAGCATGAAAAATCGAAAATTTCTTGAATCAAGCTTAGGAATCACTCGAATCAAGCTCAGAGAAGGAGAGTTCAGGATGTTCAGGAAAAAAGAAAAAAGGAGCTCAAAACCATAACGGCAGTCAGATAAGATAATACGCACAACAATAAAACCGGAATATCATTCAAACATTCATAAGACATACCTTCAGCTCAGCGACGAAAGCCTGTGCACGGACTACATCTAAAGTAGTCACACCGAAAATTCGACGTTTATCGTATACACCATGCTTCTTCATGACTTCTGATGCGATTGGCACTGTTGAATTGACCGGATTGGTGATAATAGCAATCATGGCCTTAATCATGTATAGGTACTACATTAAGTACTAGACATTGTACTTCGTTTGAGAAAATCCAAAAAAATCTTTTTCATTAGTAAATCACCTATAGCACCCTCCTACTAGTTATATAGCAACAGAGCGAGAAATCCATATCGTTTTAACATGTAATTACCATGTAAATAATTGCACTATTTCAGTGGCCTCAATAATAAAAATAAGACAACCTGTCTAGTGAGTATATAGTTTGCACACCGAAGAAGCAAACAGGGTTTAACGAAATAGGTTAAATGACATTAAAACAAGTGTCACCAAAAAATGGCAAAACGGAAACGTAAGTAAGGTAGAGGCTACTTCCAGAATCACTCAAGGTTCTCTTTTATTCGGAAAGAACTCACTTTTGGAGCTTCGACAGCAATGACATCAACGATGTCACGTACAATACCGGCGTTTGTGTTGAACAGGTCGTCACGGGTCATTCCTGGCTTACGCGGCACTCCCGCCGGAATGACAATGACGTCGGCATCTGCAACTGCAGCAGCTAGCTCTTTCGGACCAGTATGTGCGGTCACCTATAATCAAAAATAACGAGTCATAATGGTCACAAATACTTGTATGTAATTCAGCAGTTCTGTTATGAACAAACAAGTATGTAGTATGTTTTAGCGTGCGCCTCCGAATTCGATTTCTAGTCAGGGAAGCAATGACAGTTTGAATATGTATGTGCCCATATGACGACTTGCCGTGAACAGCTGACGCACAGGTAGACGATACATCCTTCAAGATAAGTGGTAGCAAATAACCGGCCCTAGAGGATGAAAGGCTTGGTTTGTCTGTGCGAGCACCAGTTTTGGATTCGTTCTCGGACCTTTCTTAAATGTGTACCACTCGTCACTATGTCACCTACGCCAATAGAGGATACGTGGTTTTTCAACTACACCGTCATCCTAGGTTTTCATACTCAAAATATAATTACGCTGCATGCTGGAAAAGAAGTAAAATATTAGATCAGAAACTAACACATGAACTATAACAAAAAGAAAATTTAAAAAGTACCTTAGCGTTAGTATCGATGTGTGAAAGATCGGCTGCTACTCCAGCTGTTCCGACGACATCGTAGAGAGCAAGGTGCTTGACAAGGTTATCCTGCTTTAATAGCAGGCCAAGTGGCTGACCGATACCACCCGAGGCACCAATGAGAGTAACCTAAAATTTTATTTACAATAACAGCTAGCGAAATAAAGTACTGCTCAAATAACTCAGAT